ATTAATTTAGTCTAAAGAATATGCTCTAAAACTTTTATAGATGGCTTGATCCTTATAAAAAAAAATGGAAATGGCTTGATCTTAAAGCCAAATAAAACAGTTGTGGAGGGGATCCACCGTTTTAGTGGCCGAAATGCTTTAAAAGGTGACCCTATTGGATGAACATATCTTTCTCAATTGAATAAACAAGTCATTTTCAAGAAGAGGGAGAGAGCAGCCATCTAATTAACAATAGAGACATTCCATTTTTTTATTTATATTCACCCACTGCTAGTTTAACCACTTGGTCTATCAATAGGTTCTATTCAGAAAAACCAACATGAATTATTTCTTCAATTTTGCATGAAAAAAGGATTCATAATATTTTTTTTAGTATAAAATTAGATTTTTTTTATAAAATAGTCCTCAACATATTAGAATGTGATAAATTTAATTTCCGATTGATACTAAAATTGTTTTGAGAATACTCTATTACCTATAAATATGTATAAAAAAAGTGATGGCAGAAGATTTGTTCAACAAGTTAAATATGATGTTTCATCTTTATATTTTTACCATCATCACGTGCAAATTAAATCAGTATATTTTTTTATTTTATATTAGAGATAAAACTAAATATGTTCGAGTGAAAGTAAAAAGATTTAATCTCTTCTCATAATTACGACTCTAGTATTCCAATACTACCTTTGAAAGAAAATCGTTAGAAAATTAGTTGGCTTATCATTATCTAACAATTAGTTGGTAAATTAAATGAAATAAAATTGCTTGAATTAATTTGCATAAAAAAAATGGTGTTAATGCAGATTGCACGTGTGTACCATTTACTCATTATCATCTTTCACCCATTTATTTCCATTCAGTAATACTTTTTGAGCAATTAAAGGCGTTATGTTTTTGCATTAAAGATGACCTGAAAAGTTCGTAGTGGGCTTTGAAAGCCAAAAAATCTATTGCCATGTTGTACATTATTGCTATTCCTGTGAAAAAAAAAGAGAGAGAAAGAAAAGAAATGAAGAAAAAGAAAAGCAATGAGAACTCAAGTTCAAGTTTCTACAGAGCAGCGTAACCCTGTCAAGTGAAAATATATATATTGACTTTGTTACAACATGGCTGTGGCATAGCTTCGTATGGATGCCGGGAAAGCGATGAACTTTAATTATTTTTAATAAATATAATTTAAAAATTTAAATTTTATATATTGATAAAAAATTTATTAAAAAATCAATTCATTTACTGTTGAGCTAATAAGTTATCGATATGGTTGATATATATATTTTTTATAAAAAGAAGCATAATCCTGTGAAGTGAAAAAATATATATATTGACTTTGGTACACAATTAATGAAAAAGGTACCAAATTCTTGTAAAAATAAAGATTTGGGTTCACACAAAAATACGAAAGAAAAAAAAACATAAACAGATTTTGCCATAAATTCATATCCAATTCATAATTGTGGGTCCCTACCTAATCCTAGAAAGCTATAGCTGTCAATCAGCAATTTTTAAATAAAAAGAAATTAAATTAAATAGCCAAAAATAAATAAATGTTCCAAGCTATTCTGTTTTCTTTTTTGATTCGAAAGAAAGGGAAAAGTTGTTTTCTAGTACTGATGAATTTGTACAAATTCACCCAAGAAAATCTTGAAGAATTCATCAAGTCAACACAAAACTTAGAACTCATGAAATGAGCAAAAAAATTCATTTGAACATTTTGAATTTGGAGTAACTAGTTATGTAGTTAATAAAAAAATTATTAGCTTCTGATATATAACAAAATTATTGGGATATCTAACTAGTTAATGTTGATTTTTTAATATTGAAGAACGAAACTAATCTATTGCTATTGTGTGAAATGTAAAAGACAAATATAATTATTCAATAAGTATTTTATGTGCATAAAAATTCGAATATAAAACTATTTTTTCAAACTACTAGAGTTCATTCGACTCAAGTTAATCCTCTTAAATATAACAGAATTTATTTATATTTAAAAAATGATTGAAATTCACTTATTATTTTACTATAGTGATTAGATTAATTCATCTGCGACAAGAGAGATTCAACACGGTTCTTTTTTCTTTCTAATACTAAAAACGAACCAAAATTCCACATTTATCAATTTAAACACACATAAAAAAATCAAGATTTTTCCAAGATGGTGGCAACATTGACATTTCAATTGATCCAAAGCAAAAGAAAAATCACTTTAATTTGAAGCAAGAAGTTAAAAAGTACTACTATTTTGTACCATGTACAAAATTTTTTATATGTTAGAAGTATATTTTTATATGTTAGAATCTTATATGTTGCTATTATGTCGAATGCATAAGACAAGTGCAACTATTTAAAAAGTATTTTGTGTACATAAAACTTTGAATCTAAAATTATTTTTTGAAAACGATTAGATTTCTTTCAACTCAAGTCAATCCTCTTAAGTATAATTAAATTTATTTATATTTAAAAAATGATCGAAATTCACTTATTATTTTTACTATAATGATTAGATCAATTCATAGCGGCAAGAGAGATTTAACACGATTCTTTTTTCTTTCTAATACTAACAATAAACCAAATTTCCACATTTATTGATTTAAAACACAAAATAACTCAAGATTTTCTAAGATGGTGGCAACATTGACATTTCAATTGATCCAAAGCAAAAGAAAAATCACTTTAATTTGAAGCAAGAAGTTAAAAAGACTACTATTTTGTACCGTGTACAACTTTGTTAGCATAAACTAATAAAAGTTTCCGTTATTTTTGTATGTTGGAACCTTACAACATTTTAATGGTTGTGGCATGGCCAACGTAGGCAACATTTTCATGGTTTTGGAAAATTCTCTGTATTAGTGACCGACACCTGTGAGTAAGGAACCGGGAATCAAACCGGTTTTTCAGACAAAACAGCTTGGAATCCATGGGACCCAAATGGAGAAAATTGGAAACGAACGGCTCAGTTACCGAAACTTAGCTCAAAGTTCTTGTATGTTGTTACACGTGTCCGATAAGTCATTTTCGCTTGCCGTTCTGGATTGCATTTGTTCCGGTTGTTGTCGTTAGCTTTTTAGAATAGTTCGTAACTGTCCTGTCAGGTGATCACTGCCTCCTCTCGCATAAAAGATCATCTCATTCTCACAAGTTTTAGGTTTATCCTCACGTTCCTAAACGAGAGCGTGTGTGCACGCTCCTAATATTCTTGGTCCACATTGAGTCTTGGGCATGACTCGGAAGCAAATAATTATCGAATGATCAAACCCGAAAAACACACAAATTTGGATTTGTTTGAATAAAGGAATAATTAGATTTTTCGAGTTAAACAAAAGTACTTTTTTTTTGACAACTTTTTTTAACATAGATTATATTACATATAAGGTTTAAGAATTTATATTATTTATCTTATTTTAATAAACTCTTTTATGTGAAAAAAAATAACAAAATTTATCCATCACCATTAACAATTTAATAAAAAAATGATACCAATAATTATTGATCTAACGATAAACAATTCAATTTTTTGAAGAATTTTCTTTAAATGTATAAAGTTCGAATTCTACTATCATTTATTGGAATAAGTTAAACTTTATCGTTTATATTTTAAATATGATTAATTCTATTTTTAACATAAAATAAGATATTTAGAAAAAAGAAAAAAGCATAATTAGTCTAAAAAATAATAATTCAAACCCAAATTAAATCAAATTGATAATATATATCTTACTATGTCACAAGCAAAATAGAATTAATATCCTATCCTATCAGTAAATAATAGGAAACATTACAAATACTCAGGTTTTTTTTTTTTTTAAAGAAGTTTGGTTTCACTATTCCTATGGCAAGTGTTTTTTTTTTCACCAATTTAGTTTTTTATTTAATTTTTTAAAATTCTTAGGTTTATTTTATTTTGATCTATAAAATTTTAATCCTCTAATTGATGCGTTACACATGTTTTTTTTTCTTTTAATTTTTTCATCAATTTATATTATTTTGAAAAATCAAATTTATTTTTTTCATCAATTTATGTTCGTTTTTATTTAATCGAGTGTTAAAATTTTTAAAAATCAATTGTCATTTTGTTTTTACACAAATTGACTATTATATAATATATACAATATTTTTTATATTTATATGACATATATTTTTTACTTACGTGATCTTTTTATAATTTTCATAAATTTATGTTTTTTATTTAATTAGGTGTTCTATCTACTTGTAGCGTTGCACATATGATTTCAAAAATTAATATTCTCATCAATATTAAATAAGAATTTTTTCTCATTTGTTAATTTTTATAAAAATCTATCCATTAATTATAACTTTATTTTTTGAATACAATATTATGAAAATTATATTTTAAAAGTTTTTTTAATTCTTGATTAATATTTTAGTTAAAATTAATATTTTTTTATTTTAAAATAAATCTATAAAGAAGAATAATTTATGTTTTTTTAAGAAAAAATTTATAAAAAAATAAAAAAATTAAATAAATAAAAAATTATAATTAAATAAATTTTAAATAAGTTTTTTTAACGAATTCACAGCGTAGCGCAGCAAGGTGACTAGTACTCATCTATGAGCCCTATTAAAACTTCTTGCCCAAAAAGTTATTTTCTAGATGGTCATAACCAAACAAAAAGGGGTGACAATCACGCACTTATAACAAGCGTGGATAATATCCTATGCTATCAAGCAAGTACCAAGAGTTGCAAGTTACAACTTCACACGAGCAAAGAGTATGTTATAACTCAATAATCACCGTTGATCATCGTAAAATAGAACAAATCAAGCGGTGACATTCTCCCTTATATTCATCAAAGAATCGGTTCAACCTCATAAGAGGAAAAAAAAAAAAAACTTATAAAAAAGAAAGAAAGAAAGAAACTCTCTCTCTCTCTCACGCACTCTCTCTTCAATTTTTCTCCATAAACTAACCTGCCCATGCGTTTCTCTCTGTAACCCTCCAAGAAAACAAGAAAGGGATTCTTGGGAAACCTCAACCTCCAATGGCATCTGGGTTTTCAGGTGGCGGCGGCGGCGGTGGAGGTGGCGGTGGTGTCCAGGATTTCTACACTAATAGATCATCTTTACCCACCATGAACCTCACAAATAACCACCACAACCCATCATCCCTACCTCCTTATAGGACCAACCAAGCCTTTCTTGACCAAAGTTTGTCTTCTCATAATTATCAACAGATCGCTCAACATAGAGCAATCTTTCCCTCAAATATAACCACAACCACCGCTACCACCACCACACCAAGCCTAATCGGCAAGCGAACGCTTGCCGATTTTCAAGCATTTCAACAATCACCACCGCAGCAAAACTTGCTTAACCAAGCTGCACTGAACAATCTTCTTCTCCGGTCTGTAAAGCCGAGGATGAATAACAATATTTTCCAACAAAACACGTCTCCAATTTCCACTCTTTCTGCCATTGATTTCTCTGTTAACAGCTTGTCTCCAGAGCTTCCTACGTTAATGTCTCAACGCTACGGTCCGCCTCTTCTTCAACAGCTTCGACCCCATCAACAACAAAACCACCACCAGCAGTGGCAGCAGCAGCAGCAACCCACGAATCTTATTAGTCCTATTGGTAGCATCAACAACAATAACAACAACAGCATGATGCCGTATATGAATATGTTACAGAGCCAAAACGGAGGAGGAAATGGAATAGTCATGGGCCAAGATCGGGAGAAAAAGATGTTGAATCAGCTTCAAGAACTGGAAAAACAGCTTCTAGACGATGATGACGACAACCAAGAAGGCGATGCTGTTAGTGTTATAACGAACATTAAAAGTGAATGGTCTGAAACAATACAGAATCTTAATCTTATCAGTTCTTCTTCTTGTAACAATCATATTTCACCATCACCCACTTCATCATCTTCGTCCTCGTCTTCAACTGTCACGACTCCGGTTTCGAAACAGACTATAATCGAAGCAGCATCAGCAATTTACGAAGGTAAAAGTGATGTCTACCCTGAGATCTTGACTCGTGTGTCTCAGGTTTCGAACCCACGAGGGAATTCTGAGCAGAGATTGATGGAATACATGCTGATGGCTTTAAAATCTCGGGTTAATTCTGCTGAAAACCCAATTTCTGTAATGGAGCTGTACAGCAAGGAACATGTGGATGCAACCCAGTTGTTATATGACTTGTCTCCTTGTTTCAGGCTTGGTTTCATGGCTGCTAATCTTGCCATCATTGACGCTACAAGAGAGCAAGACCAAGAGATGAGCAGCTCCAGCAATGGCTTCCATGTTGTTGATTTTGATATTGGTCAAGGAGGGCAGTACATGAACCTTCTACAGGCGCTTTCCGGGCTTCCAAATTCGAAGCCAGCCATTGTTAAGATCACAGCCGTTACTGCTGAGAGCAATGATGGAGAAGAGAAGGAGAGGTTGAGGCTAGTTGGTGAAATGCTGAGCAAACTCGCTGATCGAGTTGGGCTGAGGTTGTGGTTCAACGTCGTGTCTTGCAAACTCAGCGAGTTGTCTCGTGAGTCCCTCGGGTGCGAGCCGGACGACGCGTTGGCCGTCAATTTTGCGTTCAAGCTGTACAGAATGCCGGACGAGAGCGTGTCCACCGAGAATCCAAGAGACGAACTTTTGAGGCGCGTGAAGGGGTTGGGGCCGCGCGTTGTGACAATAGTGGAGCAAGAAATGAACACTAATACGGCCCCGTTCATGGCGCGCGTGAACGAGTCCTGTTCGTATCAAGGAGCGTTATTCGACTCGATTGAGTCGACTCTGGAAAGGGATAACTCTGAGCGAGTCAAGGTCGAGGAGGGACTGGGTCGGAGAATGATAAACTCGGTTGCTTGTGAAGGGAGGGACCGTGTTGAAAGATGTGAGGTGTTTGGGAAATGGCGGGCCCGGATGGGCATGGCAGGGTTCGAGGTAAAGCCGCTGAGTCAAAACATAGCTGAGTCATTGAAAGCTAGATTGTGTTCAGCAAACCGAGTTAACCCAGGATTTACTGTGAAAGAAGAGAGTGGTGGGGTCTGTTTTGGTTGGAAAGGGAAAACCCTCACAGTCGCCTCTGCTTGGCGTTAACTTCACTTTCTTTGATATTATTAATTGTTTAGTGTCATTATAATTATAATATATGCATACGTAATATTTTAGTACTATTTTTAACCTTTTTTTTTTTTTTTGGCTTATAAAAAATGGAAAGAAAATCAACCAAACGAAATAATATAAAAAGAGTGTTTGGATTTGAGGAAGGAAAATTCTCTTGATCATTTTATTTTATTTTTCCCCCCATATGAGGTGTATGTGTGAAGGAATCTATGTGTTTGGTGTTATTTAGCTAACCTGTGTGATTTGGATTGCTTGCCTTTGTAAATGAATAATATTTTAATGGAGGGGAATTGCTGGACATGGCATTGTCCTTTTGGCCAATTTATCATCGGATTCCATCCGAATCCGAGTTTTTTATTGTAATTTATTAATCAAGATAAATAAGTAAATTTATTATTTGTATTTTTAATACGTGTTTGTGTCTATATTTTGTTTAAAACTTGATAAAAAATAAAAAAGCAAGAAGGAGGATGGATTGAAAATTTGCACTTATGAAAAGAAAAGTTCCAAGAGGCTCCACTTCGTAGATTGATTTGCAATCTAAGTTTATTGTGACTTTGCCAATCTTAGTCATTGGGGGCTACGTGTTGAGTGCCCATTTGATGTAGCGTTGAGTGAGAATATATAGAAATCTTAATAGCATTATTGAATAATTAAATTAAGATCATATAAGTGATAGAATTTCCATATGTTAATAAAATTTGCTTGAGATAGCTTTCAAGAAAATAGCTTTTGTTTTTTTCATTTATTGTAAGATATGAATAATTTATGATTCACCAAGAACAAATATCCCAAATGAATCTTGGAAATGGGAGAATATATCTTCTTTCCAAAACAATCTTTTTGGAGTTGATCAAGAAGATTATTTAATGATTCACTCTCACATTCACGTGAGATTCATGTAGAGCTTGGTAGAGGTTTTTCAAAATTTGAGCTATGAGATTCTTTTTTGAAAGATTGAGCTAGAAATTGATGGGTGCATGTGTTGTTTTTCTTTAAGATTTCACTAAGATTGTGTGTGGCTAAGATGTTGGAGGACAAGGGAATTATTAATTTTTTTTCTCTCTGGTTTGGTACCTAAGATCAGAAACATCTATCCATACTTTAAGATGAAAAGACATCATCAAGTGAGAGGGGAACTTGAAAAACTTTGCATCCATGAGTTGGAATTTAGTGGTTTCAAATTGACAATTGATATTTTCAAGTCACTAGATTCAATTAGTGTAAATGAACCTAGCTAGACATGAATCCAAACAATCAATTTAAATTTCCATTTTTTTTTAAATGGCAAGTAATTTTGGCTTTTTCTTATTATTTTGGATTTATTATAAAAGAAGAATATTAAAACCTAAGAGGATTAGTTTGAATGAAAAAAGTTCTAATCGTTTAATTTAGTGGTTTCGATTTCAAATCTTTATGTATGAAAAAACTCTTTAAGTAATCGTACTTATTTTGTGTGTCCGACCGAACAGTGAGAGATTAATCTCGACTTTTGAGCTTGTGACACTTTGAGAACTTTAAAAAAAATGCATGAAAATTTTTATTTTTATTTTTTGTAAAAATACGTTTTTATAGTTTATTGTACGACGATTTGGTTTTTATTTACAAAAACTGTTTCAAAAATAACTTGAAAACTGAAACGTAGAAATAAATTAGAATAAAAGAAACTAACAATTCAATAATTCAATACGTTCATGATATATATCATACATCCAACTCTATGATTTGGCCTTTGGGTGATCTATGGAATTGACGAAAAATAAGCCCACGTGACTCTTTCCTAGGAAATGCCCACACGTGCGTTTTGGGCACATAATTGTTCCACTCATGCGGGTGATTCTTACAAGTAGAAAAAAATAGAACATATAGGCTTAGTTTGAACTGAAAATTGTCTCTCGAGAATCCTTTAACTTACCTTCAAAGATCGATAACTCCATGTTGCTTGACACTAGCAAAACGTGTGATGCAAAAGTTGTACACCTCTCCAAAGAAAAACCCTAATAAATGTGCATAATAATTCGAGTTGTCAAGGAATGTTTTCACACACATGGGAATGGCAAAACAATTGCTAGGTGTGACCTAAAAATGGGAAAGGAAACAAATGCCTTTCTTTGGCATTCATTGTTAGAAAGATAGAGAAATTCAATTAGCTCAACCACACATTGTAAGAAATGTGAAGTGGAGAAGAGTAGGGTAGTCCTACCCCATGTTAAATGAAAGTGTAATAAAGAATAGAATGGTACTTGAAAGGATGAAAATGATTAAAAAGTTAATTATAAAGCAATCCCGTTGTTTTTAACAAACAAATTAATTAGTCCTTGTTCTTTCAAAAACTAATTATCTAGTCTCTTCATCATTGTTGACCCAATTTATTTAATATTAATTTATTTTTTAAAAAATATTATTTTTTCTTATTATTCCTTCTTTCTTTATTTTACGTATTTTCTTTTATTTTTTTAAAACAAAAATTAAAATAAATTAGTCCTAAACAATTTATCAAGAATGTTAAAATAAACCAAATACTTTGTGAGTATATTGACCAAATTCCATTTCTTTTATTTTTTTTAAAAAAATCAAAATGAATTGAAAGGAAAAAAAAAGACTAAGTTATAAGAAAATAAAAAAAAAATGACTAAACAATTAATTTTTAAAATAAAAAGACTAATTAGTTTGTTTCCCAAAACTAAAAGGACTAATTTATCATTTACTCGAAGATCAAAGGTGTACATACATTGTTGGATTTGATGGGATGAATGGATTATCATGACTATACCACCAAAAAGCAGGGTAGAACAACCATGTCATAGGATAAAAGTCACTTTACACAAGAGTAAACTCAAAACCTTTTCTGTCTCTTACAAATTACATTTTATCCAAACTGTATAAAGTAGTACTATTTTCCATCTTTTTTCATCCAATGTCACAACATGAAAAAGTGTCATCTGGCTCTTGTTGGTGTTGATGGTTTTGACATAAAAGTGAAAATAAATTTATGAGCATTTAGATCAAGGTGAAAGGACTTGAATTCAAATCTCAATTTCCTCTTTTTCTTTCACCACTGAAAGGCAAATGGAATAATTGCGATGTAAGTACACTTTTAATGTCTTTTCAATTGAGTATACGGATTTTTTAATCTTTTTTCTTTAAGTATAGTGATTTTTTAAAACTATAAATTAAGTATTTCTATTCAGTTTTTGTGGATTACTATGTTGTATGATGACATGAATTATTAAATTATGATTTTTTTTCATCGATGAAGAGAAATTTTCTTCTCGATTTTTTTTCTATTTTTTAACCTTTTAAATATAAAGATTATTTGGGAATGCCTACACGATAAGAAGAATAGGGAAAAATCATTTCAAAGGAAAATTTTTCTCTAAGAATGAAAAGATTAAATCGTAATTTAGTAATCTAGGATAAATGATATTTCATGGAATAACAAAACAATTATAAAAATTGAACGAAAAATACTTAATTGCAACTTTGAAAAAGCTGTTGTAATTCAACAAAAAAATCATGGATTCGATTGAAAAATGTAAAACGTTGGTGTTCTTATTGTACAATTATCCCACAGACAAACAGTGAACCATACAAAATGGAGAGTGGTCCTGCTTTATCAACTTCCCTCCTTCGTGGATCGGGCAGCACGGGATTCCAGGTTTTCTTGAGAGTAGTTGAAGGGCCGAGCTGATAGTCAGAATACAAGTTCAAGACCCTACCCACTGGGCCAGTAGAAAGCCCAAGAAGAAAACTGGAAAAAGTTACCTAAGCTCATATTGGGCCATATTACCACTCAAAGCCCAGTGTTATGCATGTTAAGCCCCAGCCGCTAAAGGATTCAAGTTTGTCGGGAGTAGTGCCAATAATTTTACTGACCACTCTTAAGCCTAGGAAGCCGATGGGCAGGGTAACCGGTCCATTAATTCATACCTTAAAAAAAAGAAAAAAGAAAAAAAAAACTATTTCCAAGCTCCTTAAGAAATTATCCCTTACTCCCCATTTAATATACATTTATAATTTGTCAAGATATATCATTTTAATTCCTATTATTTTCATAAAAAATTATTTTGATTCTTAATATTAGTATAGTTTATAGTTTGGTACTTTATTTATAAGTTTTTTGTCCTTAAAGTTCTTATAGAATATATTTTGATCACTACTTCATAAAGTTTAAGCAATGGATTCCTACATGTTAAATGCTTTTTTTCAAAAAAAAAAAATGGTATTAGTAAGGTATGGAGTAGGTACTATTATCCAAATTTCATATAAATAGATATGTAATTTTTTTTTACTTACCCTCTTCAATGTTGATCAAGAATTTTTAATGGTATTTATTAGGTCGGATAAAACAAGTACTAGTTTCATACTCGGTCTATTGCCATTTTTATTGAAGACAATACCTATTTTATTCTTAACTATCTTTCTTTAAAAAAATTATAAATAAAAGCAATAAAATATTTTTTTATGAATGCAAAGAATCTCTTTTTTAAAATAAAATATCAAAATAAATTGAATAAGAATGAAAATGATTCAGTTATAAGAAAATTTAAAACTACAAAGACTAATTTGTTCGTTTCTCAAAACTATAGGTACTAATCTTTAATCTACTTAAGGAATCTATGAATGCATGTAGAGAGTTAAAGTGACGAAGTAGCTAGAGAAGTTCATGGGCCTGGATGCCAGACTGGCCCATATAGGCCCAGTGACTATTGGACTGGCCGACCATCTTTTTTCATTGGGTCTAAATCTTTCATATTCTTCTTTCCCTCTCCTTTTATTTTGATTTACCTTCTTTTTTTTCTTGAAAATAAATAATGATTATGAATTCTTGATATTGGTTCTCAACAATTGCTTTATTTTCTCGATGAGATCGTGAACTATTATCTTTATCTTTTTTTAAGTATTCACAATATTTTTTATGCCCTGTTTCAGATTTGATTTTTTATTTTTTTAACAGGCCTAGAAGCTAGTGGTCCATTACCGGCCTGATTGACCAGACTGAGATGGGCCTGGCCCGACTATAAATAGACAGCATAATATAAGCTCGGCCCGACCCATGAACATCTCAAGCATGAGTGAGGAGGATAAGTAGAATGAATGCCTTAAACATTGAACAACTTTCGGCCCAGAGAGCTTTTCTTGGACATGTTTAAGGTGCGCTTTATCCTCTTGTCTAGTTCTATTCGACCAAATGGCTATTGTGTCCAATGGGCCGTGAGACTGACGAGAGATTGTTAGATTAGGAAAAGATAGAATTTCTTAAAAGTTGGACCTTGGAGTATGGACTTAGGAACATACTAGAATGAGTAAATTATAAATTAGTCTCGAGAAACGAATTAATTCATCGCTCTTATCTTAAAAATTAATTATTTAGTTTTTACGTTTTTAAATTTACTTGAAACTTAGTTTTTTTTTTTGCTATTTTTTAATTTATTTTGGTTTTTTATTTTAAGAAATAAAAAAGAAAAAAATATATAGAAAACCATGGAAAATTTGATGAGAAAAGAAAGTATTTTATGAAATAAAAATAACATTAAATTAAGTATAATTAAAACTAATTAAAAGACTAAATAATAGTTTTTAAAATGAGATAGACTGATTAATTTATTTTTTGAAACTTGAGAATCTCTTGCACCATCATGTTATGTCATGGTACTATAGAAAAAAAGAAAAAAAAACTAGAAATCGATTAATTAACATATTGGTTAATTGTGTTTTGAAAGACCAAAAAAATCTTCAGGCCAATCACTAAATCAAGATATGATATGTACGTGTAACATTCTTTTTTTATTAAAAAAACACCCAAATGGGTAAAAAATATATTTTTTTTCGTACTCTTAAAGTCGAACTATTTATCATATTTATTTGAATTACACTTTAACAAAAATTTGAAGTACATTTACAAACAGAATTAATCGGATATAAATTTATTACATAATTAAATATCAAAATGAAAAAATCATGACTAATAATATGGATGGCAACGAGCGTATACTCGAGCCATTCATTCAGTTTTTTAGCTTACTCATAAAAAAATATTCTACTCATTATACATTATTAAATCACTATATAAATCTTTACGCAATTCATCCCTAACTCATATTAATTTAACTACTAATTTAATATTCATTAAAAATAATTTATAAAAATATTTATTTTAGTCCTTATAATTTCAAAAAACATTTTTTGTCCTTAATTTTTTTTTACATTTTGGTAATTTATTTATAAGGTTTTTTGTCCTCAATTTTTTTGAAAAAAAAATTTGATCCTTAATTTTAAAGTTTATTCAATTAAATTCATGTATGTTGATAAAAAAAAATCAAAATAAATTAGTAATCATTAATCGAAGGTGTTTATATTGTAAAACTTGTTAGTAGGTAAGTATTTTTTTATCCTTCCTAACTTCAATACCCATTGAACATCTTTAATTAATATTTATTAAGCATAACAAAGAAGGCATCCATTTTGTATCTAGCCCATTGCCATCCCTAACTAATAGAATGAATGAATCTCTTCTTACCGTTTGAGATGCCATCCTCATGTTAATTTAGCAAGAAGGTTAACCTTTTTTTTTTTCACAGAACTTAGCTTGAAGTTTAACTTTGCAACAAATAGGAGTAAATTATGAATTAGTCTTTCTAGTTTGAAGAAATAAATTAATTAGTCCATATCATTTAAAAACTATTAATTGGTTTTCTAATCAATATTAATCATGTTTAATTTAATATTATTTTTATTCCATAACATCTTTTTTTTAAATCAATCTTTTCATATTTTTTCCCTTTACTATTTCTTAAAAAATCAAAATAAATTAAAAAGTAGCAAAAAAATACTAAACTACAAGTAGATTTCAAAACATAAAAACTAAATAATTAGTTTTTAAAATGAGAGAGACTAATTCATTAATCACAATGAGAGGGACTAATTTATAATTTACATCGACAAATAGCAAAACTTGCTAGTGGCAAAAAAGATTAAAGTACAAATAGATTTTAAAATATGAGAACTAAATAATTAGTTTTTTTAATGAGAGAGACTAATCAATTCATTAATCAAAATGAGAGGGACTAATTTATAATTTATTCTAACAAATCGCAAAACTTGTGATTAGAGATTGAAGAATTTTACTTGTAGGAGCTATATGAGTTGTTTTGTAAACAACATGGTCTAAATTGTATACTTTATCCAAAAAATGGAAAACAAAAACCTCATCTCCTTCATCGACAAAAACTCCATAACCACACTCCAAACCCCCAAAAAAACCACCGAAATGGTTTCATCTCTTAGACTCCACTCACTAACGTCCCTCTTCTCCTCTCCCTCCCTCCTCCGCCCTCCTCTACTCCTCTGCCGCGCCCACCGCCACAAACTCTCCTCCCCTCCACCACGAACCGCCGCCTTCTCCTCCCAAACCGCATCAGCATCCACCACTGAAAACCCCAAAAAACAAACAAACCAAGACCAAAAAGTAATTACTCCTCGGTCTCAAGACTTCAATGCTTGGTATCTTGACATCATTGCTAATGCTGAACTTGCTGATTATGGTCCGGTTCGTGGCACCATGGTTATTCGACCCTACGGTTATGCCATTTGGGAAGCCATTCAGGTCCTTAAAATTCAGAACTTTTTAGTTGAAAGTAGATAGTTTTGAGCTTTTTTTTTAATGGGGTGTTGAAAGTTGTGTTTTTTTTTTGGGGATTGCAGGATTATTTGAACGTGAAGTTTAAGGAGACTGGACATAGTAACATGTACTTTCCTCAGGTTTGTTTTGTGGGTTTATTTATTTTTTTGATGAATGTTACAAATATAGGGCTGTGATTGGTTGAGGTTTTGAGTTGAGCGGAGTGTTATGATTTGTGGGTTTGGTTGTTTAGGTCTAAATCGAGGTCGGAAAGGGGTTGAGGTTAACTTTGAGGTAATAAAGTATTCAAGTTCGGTTTGTTTACTTTTTGAGTATGTTTAGGGTAATGTTGAGGTTTAGTGACACAAAATGACCAAGAAAATAAAAACAATTTATCATAATGGTGAATATTAGGATCGATTTGTAGTTTTTGTTTTATTAGAAAAGTGGTATGCTTTAATATAATTTTTTTAAAATTAACTCTTAAAAACATATATTTTGTGGTCATTGACGTTTTGAGCTGAGTGTTGCATCATTTGAGTTTGTTTGTGAATGATATTGAATTTGGATTATCTGAAAGATTTAGTTTGTTTTTGCATGCAAACAAGTTTGTGTATGTTGTTTTGATGAGACAAATCCGAGCTGAGCTCGAGTTGCATGGTTTGTTATTACAATTGTAACTGCATGCTTGTGTTCTTGTGGATGGAGTTTTTGTACGAGTTTGTCTTTAATATACTTATAATGGAATTGTGTGCTGCAGTTTATACCATACTCATTTATTGAGAAAGAAGCTAGTCATGTTGAGGGGTTCAGTCCCGAATTGGCTCTTGTAACTATTGGGGGAGGAAAGGAACTGGAAGAAAAACTTGTGGTAACATTTGATTTTGACTAGTCTTGGAATTTTAATGGTTCATGGAAAATGTTATGTTGTTTCATTTTCATGAAAAACCATGATCTGAGTTTTGGCTTTGATTGTTGCACTTGTTGAGGTTGTGGCAGGTTCGACCCACTAGTGAAACCATAGTGAATCACATGTTTACTCAATGGATTCATAGTTATCGTGATCTTCCTCTCATGGTAAACCAGGTAAAAGTTTGGTTACCTGTGGCAAAAAGCTTCCAGTCACGGAGGGTCGTTTTGTACAACTGTTTCTTTTCTATTTCTTCCTCTTAATATTTTGTTTTCTGTTTCAGTGGGCAAATGTCACAAGATGGGAGATGCGCACAAAGCCATTTGTGAGGACTCTTGAATTTCTGTGGCAGGAGGGTCACACGGCTCATGCCAATCCAGAGGAGGCAGAAAATGAGGTTTGCATCTTATTCAGCTGTAGGATGCTTGATATCTGATAGCACACTTGCATTTGCATTAAATAGATTTTTGCTGCTGAATTGCAGGCATTACAGATGATCGACGTCTATACAAAATTTGCTTATGAGCAAGCTGCAATACCTGTTATTACAGGTAGAAAATCAAAAGTGGAAACTTTTGCTGGTGCTGATAGGACATATACAATAGAGGCTATGATGGGTGATCGGAAGGCATTACAGGCTGGAACGAGCCACAACCTTGGGCAAAACTTTTCCCGGGCTTTTGGAACACAGGTATTTTACTCAGTAGTTACCAGATAAGATTATTTGAGACACTTTGCGAGTTGCTGCTAGCTGAGTGTTTCATTGCTCTATTTCTCACAAGATATCGTTTGAATACAATGAAAAGCCAACAGCATAAGTTTGAAAAGAGAATTCCTTCATCAATGCTTTTTAGTGAATTATCAGCTACTTCCTGTGAATGAATCTACTTAAAATAGATCCTCTAGTGGCTTACATGACCATCACCTACAATGCTTTTTGTCAAAGCACAATTACCGAAAAGGGAAAAACAAATGATGCCAATTCAAGATTTCAGTTAAACTTGGTTAGATTATCTTGGAAATTCACTTCTGTTTGGTTTAGAACAATACAAAATGGCCAGTGTGCATTTTGGTGTCTATTAACAATAGACTGAATGGACTTACCTATTCTGTTCCTTTTGCTTTCTGTCTATGTAACATATATAATGCTTAACATATCATGTGGATTAAGGTTCTCTCTTTTTTTCTTTTCCCCTCACAAAACCATGTGCCTTAAGACTCCAACATATTGTTCTTGCTTGTTATTGAGACATGCTTAAAAGCACCAAGACTTTTGCATGCACCCATGCTTGTTCTGGCGTGATATTACAATATATTACCCATTGCATTCTACTATATGAAGTGGGTCAGTTGGCCATATCTGAGTTTTACTTTATGAGCTTCTATGGCAAGTGGCTAACTCAGTGGCAGCACAACAATGATCATCTCATTTGGTCCAGCATTTTGCACTCTTAATTTAGGCGTGATTGTTTAAATTGTTAAGCTGCTTTGCCATTGTCTTCAAGAAGTATACATAAACATCAGTGAAAGTTGGTAACTCTTTTATGTTCACCTTACTACCGATCAATCTAATATCCTGCTTATCTTTGCCTATGTGCATTTGAATGCATGGATGAGTGGTTGGGCATTTTCTTTTGTTCAATCAACTAAAGTGTTGTTCATTTTTTTCTGTTGTTTGTTGGGGGGTGGGTTGCGCTGTTGTCCAGACATCTATCTTTAGATGCTACTGAATAAAGACTTTGTTGATGTCTGTTCTTTGTTAGCGGCTTTGTTTTTTTTCCTCGACATTTGTTCATGTTTTCTTCTAAGCTGCCAAATAAAGCAATCAATCTTTTCTTCCATTCATTATTGCATTTTACTTTTAATTGGAGAAGTCCATGATCTTAACAGAGATTATGTGCCTGTACAGTTTATGGATGAAAATGGAGAGAGGCAACATGTGTGGCAGACATCATGGGCTGTAAGCACCCGCTTTGTTGGTGGTATTATCATGACCCATGGAGATGATTCTGGTCTAATGCTACCACCGAAAATTGCACCAATACAGGTACTTGTGTATCTCTATTAGTGATTTCTTAAGTAAGCATATATGTGTTTGTTATTGTCGTTGTGCATTTAGATCAAAGGCACTCTGGTATTTGTCAGGAATCTTTAAGTTTTATGTACTTGATCTAAGAGGAGATTTTTCATTCTGTTAAGGAAGTTTGTTGTTGCTCTCTTTTGTGGTTGTAATGTGGCAGCACATCACAGGGGTGTGCTTGCTGGGTTCAGTTACTTGGACAAACAATCTTTTGTATATTGGCGAAAAATCTTTCATCGGGACTGTCTATGCATGAGCATCTGGTTTCAGTCTTCTGATAGGTGCCTGTATGAAAGTAAAGTTTAAGTTTTCAAGTTGACATTTTCTCCTGTAGCAGATAAGAAAAAAATAGTTTTATGATTTATACTACCATTTCAATTTGTTCTTCATATCTGTGTTGCATCGTTCCAGGTGGTGATTGTGCCAATCTGGAAAAAGGAGGATGAAAAAAGTGGAGTTCTCAATGCAGCGTCTTCTGTAAAAGAAGCCTTGCAATCTGCTGGAATCAAAGTTAAACTTGATGACACAGATCAGAAAACCCCAGGATGGAAGTTCAATTTCTGGGAGATGAAGGTCTGTCCTTGCTCTTATTTTAAGTATACGAACAAAAGAAAAGAGTGATCAGTAATTAATGATTTATCCCCCTAATGAATTATGACTTGTATGAAAGGTAACTGAATGGGTATCCGTCGTTAGAGCTTATGGTAAATCTGTCAAAAAAGAATATGAATCGGGCATTTCTTCTTGTGCCTGGTGTCAATTTTGGATGCTTATGCCACTGTATGACTTATGCAATATGTTGGACCTGGCCCTCAGTTTTTTTTTAAAGTAGTTTCAATCATCTTTCTTCATGAAAAGAAAGCTTTTGAAAGGTGTGGAATTGCAACCTTATTTTTTCAAGTAAATATTAAATAATACCTTGGTTTTAATAGGGAGTCCCTCTGAGGATTGAAATTGGTCCTCGGGATGTTTCAAGTGGAAGTGTGGTCATATCTAGAAGAGATGTTCCTGGAAAGCAAGGAAAAGTATTTGGAATATCCATGGAGCCTGCAATTTTAGAAGCTTACATCAAGGACAAGTTGGATGAAATCCAGTCATCTCTTCTGGGAAGGGCAATATCATTTCGAGATAGGTGCATTCTCTTGCTCTAACATTTGTGTACTGGAACCTTAGTTATGTGCATTAATTATTTATATATGATCTCTGCTTTTCATCATGGTCATCTATTATTATTTTTCAGAATTATAGCATAATCTCTTGCTGACAGAATTGTTTATAAACAGTGAATTCTGCACGCCACCACAATAAAAATGCTAAGATTTATGTCTCCCCCACTGCTCACATCCTTTTCATTGTGTACTTTGCCTTGATGTCAAGGCAGTAATAGCACCCATAGGCATATTTGGAGAAAAACAGGTTGCTGTCTAATAATGCAGAACATAAGATGACATTTTCAAACACGCGAGGCATAAGCATCCTGGCAGAAAGAAAAAGAATGCCAGCATGATTCACAGGAAGCGATGAATTGCTTTTTACTATCAAGGATGTGAGAATTGTTTTACTAAGACCATAGGTTTTCTTTTTTGCATACCATTAACCTTGTCACATGATGGCAACTGCCAAAGCAATGGGAGTGGGAGTTTATGCTTGTCTTAATAGCTTCAGGTACTCTGGTCAAATCTCTAGATCTACATATATGGTTACTTTATAATTGTGCATGACATTATTGTTCCGGAAGCTTGAGAGTGTGCCTCACATGAGTCAATTAGGCTTTTTTTCCTCGTGTACCAATTCCAATAATGAAAGCCAACTGTTTTGAAGTCCATCAGATTCCTGTATTTGCCAAAACCATCTAATATTATTCTGACATTCTCTTGCAGTAACATTGTGGATGTGAGCTCATACGATGAACTCAAAGAAGCAATATCTCTGGGTAAATGGGCAAGGGGTCCTTGGTCAGCAAGGTAGTTTATTTTATTATCCTTTTTGTTAGTAGTGGATAAAGAAGTACAGTGTTGAGCATCATATCAGGAGAGACTCACGGCATGTCTAATATCATGCTGCTATTGTGTACTGTAGTGATGCGGACGAACAGAGAGTAAAAGAAGAAACAGGGGCATCAATTCGGTGTTTCCCATTCGAACAGCCTCAAGGGACTAAAACATGCCTGATGACAGGCAAGCCAGCAGAAGAAGTTGCAATTTTCGCAAAATCTTATTAAGTCTTGTCCCGTGTCTGACGTTCAAATGGTCTCATTTGGGAGAGCATTTATCCATGGTAAATTTTGTCATGGCTTCTTGTTCTTCCTTGTTTTAGTAAATTTAAATTTTATTTTTAGATTGACCAAAGCAATGTATCATATCAATTATTTTGAGTTGTTAAAGCTAGGTCATCTTGTCATAATTTACACCAAATATGAAAGGGATGTGAGAAATAGGAAAAATATTGTTTTAGGTGGTATTAGACAGATCTCCCAAACAGCCTTTAGATGTTTGTTTCTTGTCCGAACTGTTTCCATCTCAATCAGAGATAGAGGAAGTTGAAGAAATGGACTTCAAATATCATTTTTGTAATCCTTTCACGTAGATGTAACTATGGATCCCATCTTATTAAATTTCTTTGGTAATGTCATCTTGCTTTGACTTATAACACGGTGAAGTTCTAGTCTAGGCTGTGACTGACACATATGGATAAGGTTTATATGCTACATGTGTGCATGTTGGATCTATTGTTCATATACTGCACATGAGGTTTAGATATGTCAACTGGTTGAATCATGATTTCATTATCTTGGCTAGAGTTCTTATCATTCTTTTGTGGGGAGAGTCAAAAGTCAGAGAATAGTATGCTAGAGGACTGCCAAGGGCATTCGTACCTACGCGACTGCTCACATCGAACCGTTCATGTTCATCACGTGTTTTGATGGGCACCAACGGTTCAGATTTGGGCAATCACGTCGAGCCGATTGTCCTCAGTATTTTCCTTGTGTGCTGTCTCCCTAACCCCCTTCTCATAAGTGTACTATTAAATGCTTGTTGGAGTTTCCATATTCCCACCAAGGGTGGCTTCTCTCTTGGTGCTGGTCTAATCCCCATCAAATCGTTTTTTTGGAAGTGAATGTTAACTTTTGTCGCAGCTCATTTGGAAACCTTGCAACTCAGGTATGAAAGCAATAGATTTTTGCAACGTGTTGAATTGTATATCGCAGTATTCGATATCCGGTCCAAAATGTTACAAAATTTGATCAACTCAGTTGCAAATATTTTTCAAGCAAGTTGTAAGGATCATAAGCACCCACTATCTGGAAGGCTGGAAGAAATAAACAAAATGGGCAAAATGAAGGGATAAACTTGAGAAGAGTTGCCTAGGGACAGCATCTTGAAGAAGAAGCATAACCGGTTTTGTCGGGTCAGAACGCTAAGAAGAGTCAAATACTATGGGCAAAGTAGTAGGTGAGATTAGCTAACTCTCCATCCACCTATCTTCAAAAGTGTGGTACGAAACTTGTGGAGTGTTAATATCCCCACCGTTGGAGTGTTGGAATACCAACGGTGGCATCTTTCTCACCATTGGATTAACCTACTCGCATTTTCCTTCTTTTGCTGGCGGATGCATACCATCCTTGTTTTGGAAATGTTGCAATTAAGATGCGATTACTCGAGAGCACATTATTTTACGTGAAATTTTATATTACTCATGGAGTAATTAATTAATGATATTTACTCTAAAAAAAGAAATAATTACAAAAATGAGAGAGAAACAAGAGAGAGAATTAGAAAAAAATGAACGAGTGGAAAAATATTTTTACCATTTTAGTGGGATTGTATGCAAATATTTTTGTTTTGTTTTGTTTTTTAGACCTATTTGTATTCTCAAAATGAATTTACGGAATAACTATTATTAGTTACTAGATGAGTATTTTAAAATTTCTCATATTTAAGAAGCATTTAAGATTAAAAATTGAAATGTTAATTTGAAGAAAATGTTATGGATATAAAAAAGGGTTAGTATTCTCATTTGTTCTTATATAATAGGCTAATTTTTCAATATATCCTTAAAAAAAAATCTCTAATTTGTTTTTATATTTTGAGTTGTTTTTCAATATATCCTTATGATTAAAATTTTGACTAATTTTTAAAAATTAATCTTTATATTAATAGACATAGTATGTGCAAATCACATGCTTAATTTAGTAAGAGATTTTACCTAATAGAAAATATTAGAAATCAGATTAGAATATAAGGACATTTTATAATTTTTTTTAAGGATAGATTGAAAAATTGATCTATTATATAAGCATACTAAATTTTATACAAACTAACATGTTATGTTATATATGGTAAGCGTCCATCTAAAAAAAATAATATTGAATGATGGATTAAAAAAGAAGAGAGCATCTTTATGAAAATTTTGTTTGTATATATAGCATCACTTTAAATTTAACGATACCTTCGTTCAATGTTGCATAACTTATCATCTTCAACATCTATTTGTAAATCGTCATATGATAATGTTTATGGATTAGAAAACATTAATGAGAAGATTTATGAGAAAAAAGATACTTACTGTGAAAAAATAAAATAATGAAAAAGATATTTAATTGGATTAAGTTTTTTTTTTTTTTTTTTTTAATCTTTAAATCCGATATTATATATAATAAATCGGATTCTGTTCTTATATCTGATATCTAATCAGAATAAACTTTTATTTTATTATATATATTACAATAACAAATATTAATTAATTAATCGGTTAACAACATGTCGGAGTGGTGAGTTATGGTGAGTTGAGTAATAGGAGTACGAATTATAGACATTAAAACCTAGTTTCGGTTCTTGCTCAACATGAGTAAAAATTAGGGTTTTTATTTTTTATTTTTTTCGAACGAGCAGGGGCAAGTATTTGTCGGATCAAATCGGATCAAAGGGTCATCCCTAGATAGTGTAGAGAAAAAGTTGGAGAATCAAAGAAGGGAGCCATTGGAATGGTCACAATGAAGAGACAGATTGAAGAAATGCTACCAACCAAGGACAAGATCCATATCGAAGAAGCATAACGGTTTTGTCTGGTGGGAAAGCTAAAAGGTCAAAATACTATGTGCAGAGGAGTAGGTAGGATTAGAGTTCCGAATAAGCAAAATGGGTGCATCTGAGCCGTTCATGATTGGGAAAAAAATGGCAATCACGTGGGTCCATTTGATGACGTGGAAGGTAAAGTGCGATTGAGTTTGTTGGAGAAGAAGGAAAAGGAATCTTGACTTTTTCTATTATGGTGGGGTTCCTGGCGTGGAATAAAAGTTAACGCGTTAACGTGTGGGTCCCGTTTGGAAGGAAGATATTAAAAAAATATATAAAAAATGGAAAAAGGAGAGAAGAAAAGAAAAGGAAGGTATCAAATTATTGAAGAAGGCAAATTGCAAGTTGGCGACGCATACACCTTTCTTTTTTCTTTATATTTTTCTATTTTTTCATGTTGAAGGAAAGAAGATATTCATCACATTTTTTGCACTGAGATGTCATAGTATCATCGTAATACAATATTACTAAAAAAAAAAAAAACTAAAAGATATGGGTTTATGACTATTTATTGTAGTAATTTGTTTTTGGTTCTGGGTTGAACGGCCTAGGCTTCTGAGCTTGGGCCTGCTGCACCTGGCCTTTTTTTTTCGACAGCTCATGCCTGGCCTTATTTATTTATTTTTTTCATATGTATAACATATATGTATAATATATATATAATCATAAAATTAGATGTGAAAAATATAAAAATAAATCGTTATTTTTTTTAATTTTATGTATATTTTTTAAGATTTTAGTTTTGAACATATATATTTGATTATATTATTCTTATTGTTTAAAATTTATTTTTTAATTATTTTTTTCTTATTAAAATTCTCATCAAATTAATTTTTTGATATAATTTTATTTGTTAATAAATTTGATTTTTTAATATATGAATTTGGAAGAAAATTTTAGAACATGGGTGTTTTATTTTTAAAAAATATATTATTATAATTTATAAATTCGATTATATATATATATAAGTATGTTTTAGATAGTTTGGCTTAATTTTTTTTAAAATAATAATCAATTAAAAAATCACAAGTTTTATTTGCTTATATATATATATATATATATATATATATATATAAATAATTTAACATAACCAATTTTGCTATAGTTTTATTTTAATCTATTGACTTTAATATATTTTATACAATTTAACTATTTTTATTATATTTTTTATTTATTCTATATACTTTGAACATGTTAAGTATGATATATATATATATATATATAAAGAAATTAACTATACATCAACACACATAATACCAATTATTTGTTATTTATTTTTTCATACTTAAAAATTTTTTAAATCAAATAAGTTAGATAATGTTTTGAAAGAACTTTCTAATTATTTAAATATAAATTTTATGCTAATATTATTAAATATTTTGTTAATAAATATATATATAAATCAAACGATTTCGTTCAATAGATAGATTCGATTTACATTAACCATAAAAAATAAAACTTTCACTCGCACTACGACATACAAATCGTTAACCTTACGTACGTAATGGTTGTTTGACCGCGACGTAGCGCGAGTATTTAACTAATTATTACTAATTCATCTTATACATAAGTTAATTTTATTATAGATAACATATTTTTTTATTATATTGTAACATTACAAAATCAATACTAAACAATATTATTATTTTCAAAAGAATTTTATCAAATTCGACTTGCATAAAAATGAATCATCTTTTTTAAAAAATAAACATTTTTGAGTTTGAATTTTTATTTATACAAAAGAATTTTTACGTAATTGTATTAATTTTATGTGTTCAATCAAATGAGGATGGATTCATTTAGGCTTTTAGACATAGAATTTCCTAATATATATATATATATATATATTAGACATTGCAAGATGTGTCTATCGTGCTCAAGAGTAAAAACAACCCGTCAATTGGTTTATTTCAATTATTTCACTAATGTGATGGTCAATATATCAACAAATATTATATCATAAATAATGCTAATTTGATAATAATAAAATCCTAAATATTATGTTGATGTTATAAAAGAAATAGAAATAATAAGAGAATTAAAAGAAAGGATGACAAGAAAATGCAACCACTATAATGTGGATATAAGTGATAAGAACTTCAAAGTTTCTCTTATTCTCTTTAGAAAACTTGTACACCAACTAATG